TATGTATATATATATATGTATGCCTTCTCTCTCGCCATATCATTTTAGATATATCTAATACATGGCTGTAAACCACAGTAAAATAAAACCAGTATAATAATGGTATCAACTACTAAATATTGATTATACTTGTATTCATATGTGGGACATAAACTCATAACATCGACAGTCCTTACTCCAGATCAGTTGGTGGCAGTAATCGTCGTGTGGTTTTACTCCATCCGGGGTGAAGCCAAACTAAGAAGAAGCGAAACATAATCCGTGAGATGAACAAACCGTGAATATACATTATGATAGACAGCGGGAGTTGTGTCCACAGGCTATGACACACTTTCGAGGTCAGATACGGGGGCCACACTGGGGTCCTACAATGGACAACATGCTGATCGATTTCTGGCGCAGACACGAGAGCCTTTTTAACTCCTCGGTCGATTCTTACTACGACAAGGATTTAAAGACCAAGCTGTGGACCGAGTTCGCAATGTCCATCGGAAAGCCAGGTAAACGTGTAAGATGAGTGGTGAAACACGATGACAACGTATACTGTTGATGAAGCGTTCAGTTAGTGTTGCATAAATAACCTGACCCAACATGCACAGCTGGGGAGTGTGAAGTGCACCCGGCTGAACTTTATTCAAGTTTGTATTTATGGAATATGAGTTGGCTGGCATAATGTTTAAGGATCCCCTATTCTACTCCTTTGTAACAAGTTAATAGAGGTCTCTGAAGTCTCCATCCCATGTCATTGAAGTGTTTGGCTAAAAACGAACAGATCATACATTTTAGCACTAGTCTGTAGCTTTAAATGCAAATGAGCTGCCGCTCAACCACGCCCCTCTGCGGAACTAGCTGAAGCTCTCCAACCCATGGCGCCCCGCCCCTCGCTCCTTGTTGCCGTGGTTACGGTGTACACCTTCAGGAAATGATGAAGAACAGACATGGCTGCAAACAGAAACACAGCAGTTCACCATATCCCTTTGAACCCGAGTCGGACCCACAACAAGGACAGCGGTTCGAACCTTGAGAATAAAGCGGGACGTTTCTCAACGGTTAGTTGACACTTTTATTTCGATAACTTAATGTGTGTGTGTGTGTGTGTGACATGGTGGCTAATTGTAGCTAGGTCGCTAATGCTACTGTCTCCGTTCGCTCCGTAACTAACTTTACAGTTAGCTATTTAGTCAGTAAACTACATTGTACTGAGTTCAGTGTTGTTAACGTTAGGTGCTACGTTTTCCAATTCATAATGTACAGTTGTAGTTGAATCGATGTTGACAATCATCCTCGTCCTCTCACGTTAGTGGGGCTGAGTGCAGTGTTTTGTACGCTCGTGCTTGTGCGCCATCTCAACATTACGCGCCACAACTTACTTTTACAATATGTGTCCAACAAGATGTGCATTTTAAATTTGATAAAGCTTTCTGCTCATACTCCACAGCTTGTGTCATGTTTCTATATTCATCAGCTTAATGTGTTGTTGAAAGTCTCACATTCGTCATTGATTTGTTCAGGAGCTCACGTGGAACCTGAAACGGTGCCGACAGAACCAGAAGATGTATGCTGCACGGAGACACCACAGGTAACATTATTGTCATCTATACCAAGTGGTCTGTTTAGAGATTATATTTTCCATTTATTTACCACATGTAATTCATACTATGTTACCAGACGGATGCAGCAGCTGGAGGAAAACCTTTGACGCATGGTCGAACATCTTGGGTTGGACTCTGTGTGCCTGAATGTGCTCTCCTTGCACAATGCACTGAATATATACAGAGCTGACTACTGGGCTTAATGGATGAGGGGAATAGAGACGTAAGTGTTTTTTAATCATCATAATTTCAATCAAAATGTAAAATTTTAGATATATGCTGTTTATGAAAAATAAATACTTGTATACAAGACTTTATGCAGAGTTCCTTTCCATTACATCAGTGGACCTGACATAATGTTCACAACACACCGTTACCGGCATTATACACCTCATAATATCGCCCCAACATCAGATTGTTTTTGTTACATCGTGCTGTTTCACATTAGCAGATACTTTACATATTAAACATGAACTCACATGACACATTTTTACAGATACTGTAAAGCCAAACAACAGTTGAACTACGCAGTAATAAAATCTAAAAAATATACTATGTGCACTGTGTTGTCACAACATATATTAAAGTCACTTTTGTGATGATAAAAAAGGGATTCATTGAACCCATATAACATAATATTTGGTTGAGACCCACCATAGATCGATAGAAGCTGTTGACTAAATATATTGTTCAATTCTTCGTCGTTACAGGTATCTAGCCTCTAGGAGCTTTCTTTGTGAGCTGGTGCTGGGAGGATCGGAGTCGCCATCTCAGCCCGTGGAGCACTTCGGATTCACAGGGAGTTTCCTGATGCCCGAGGACACTACATAGGGTTCAGACCGCCTCTTGATTGAACCGGGACACATAGGCGTTGATGACCTCCTGCTTGTCCGGCCTCTCCTACTGTGCACAAAGGTCCTCTGGGATGGGGATCTTCAATACCTCATCCGTGTACGGTGCCGGGTCCACCAAGACTTTGTCAAAGACGAGGTCCATCAAGTCGTCGACATACCCTGTGCAATATTTAACAAACACAAAGATTTGTTTTACAATTTAGTGTCAAAACAAGAACAGGAAGTTGTTACAAATGTTTTGTATTTAATGCCCAACCCAATATATTCAATATTTCCTCATGGTTTATGTGTGCTTTTACGCTATTTCTTTCACTTGGAGTGTTTAACCAAAGGGAAGTGCAATATTACCGACCAAATGGTAACTCCATTCTGTAGATGGATGTGAAAAATAAAGGAATGCAACACTTACAGAACGTCGGGGCAGTCTTCACTTGTGCTGCTCTGCGTTCTCCCTCTCTGGCCTGTGGGCGAGCGGGTGACCAGCCGATGATGTTGCTTGTGAGCGGCAAGCATTTTCGTTGTAATACAGGGCGGCCAGGTAGAGTCTTGAAGTACAGTAATGACAAACAGAAACATGTCAATAATAGCAGAGGCAGTACACGTTGACCTGCACAGCATGCCAAGAAATAGAAACTGGATGTTTTTGGGAGAAAACTGAAGGGCGACGCTGTGGAAAGACTCCAGAGAGGAAGTCTGGTGGTGGGGGCTCAGTTTGTCTACAACCCTCGTGTTGGTCAGCACTTTCTCCAGCTCGTAGAAGGCAGGAGTTCCTAAAAAGGAGTGACACAGTATTCTCAATTATATTAACACAATTGAATGATTTGGTCTGACAACTAATCATTTACAGAATACGTGTCCTTGATAATTACGTGAGGAGGAGTTATGTGATAAAGTATTTGACCAACTCATCTGCTGCCAGTCATTTAGTGGGGTCCCTGCTTTGACTCAGTGTTAGAGACACTATTATATATTAATTATCAGATCATTGTGAGGGAAACGTTTGATGTCGTGTGAAGAACAGCTCAGCCCTGTGAGAGGTCACACCTTAAATAATCAAATCACCCTTTGCTGGTGTGAGGCTACATCCTCACTAATACGTTGAGAACGATGTACTGTATGTCCACACAGACGTTTCAGCATCGTTTTCTGAAGGATTTCCGTCCATAATACCACAGCTGAAAGCGAATATCACGTGACTATTCACGTACACTGCATGTGGGCGCCGGTGTAAACAGGAAGTAGATTGGTTGTTTAGTTACAGAAAATACAACAGAATATTATAGTACTCGTTAATAATAAGAGGTCATGCTTGATACTTAAGATCTTCCTCTATAAACTCAAACAGAAGAAAAAACCAAGAGCAGGTCTTCCTCTATCTCTCTCTCACGCACATCAAATTTACTTAAAATAAACACAAATCAAAGTTGACTAGATTACGGGTCAATGAATTTGGTCAACACACATCTCTCTCTCTCGTTTCCTCGGTTTCGTTAGTGTCCTTAGGAATTACTGCATCTGTGGATGACGGTCTGTGACCATGTAGTCGGGAGTCACACCACTTTCCTCCAACAATGCCACACTTCTCTTCAGACCTTCTTTTTCCATGTGGACACTTCCACCAACCTCATTGCTCTGTAAACACACACACACACACACACACACACAGATTCATTTTATTTGGAACTGTTACATACATACAATGCTGCTGGTAAAAAGTAAAAACGTGTTAATTTCATCACACACAACCAACTCGATATCAACAGCAGTGTTGGTCTTGAGGCTCCTCATGGTGGAGCTTCCATACTTAGAGTGGCCTGTGAGAAGATGGTTACAATGTTTACATTACTCCACATGTGGTCTGATACTACACATGGATTACATTGTGTACATAAGAAAACACTTTCTTGATTTTACAAACTCAGTACTATGTAAATACCTGGAGAGACCACCAACTATGACTCTGTCCTCTCCACTGAGCTGCTGTAGCATCGCTCCCTGGGATGTTGTCCACTTGTTCACGATAGCTGGCTCGATGAACATTCTGGCATGCCTCAGGAAGAGCTGCAGACCTGGTGGTGTTTGATAATTAGACGAAAAAGGTTTATATAGTATAGCCTTTCCTTGAATTTCAGATCAAAACGCACATATACTGTAGGTGCTGCAGATTCAACAAACCCGAACATTTCTTCATTTACCTTTTCTAGTTTGAAGAACGATGCTCCACTGACGTACACTGCTGTGGAAAGCTGTAGGTTCCCGGCTGGAGTGCTTCCCACAATAGGCTGGCTATTCCACGGTCTTGAGAACTGACGATGGGGTCACAGCTGCTCCACGGATAGGAGTGTACCAAGCCTTTGTGTAGGAACTTCATACGCCCGCTGGCACACGGGACACACCTCCGGTTCTGCCGAGAGAAGCCGATGCAGAAGTGTCTTAAAACTAGCATTCTCTCCACTGACCAGAAGGGGGCGACTCCTCTGGTCTCAAAAATAAGTCTGAATGTAGTTTCTCTAGTTTTAAATCTTCTTCAATACAGCATGATGTTCATTTAGTAAATTAAGGTCAATTTATGGTCGAATAGACCATAATGCAGAGTATGTTTTAGGGCGGGTTTACTGTGATTGACAGGTCACTGCCGCTACCCATCATGTGGATTTACCCTACAGTGTTACAGTTCATCCTTACTTCTTCTTACTAAATGACTGCTGTTTCAGTCACTATTCAGCATATTTTCACCTTGCAGTGTCTGATGTTGAGAGAAGATCCAGATCGCTCCGGACTCAGTACGGGAGGGTGCTGTGGCATCCGGAGAAGGTCAGCACTGCCCAGCAGAAGATGCTGCGGGAGAAACTTGACTTCTTGAGGCCTTATATAGTTCGCAGGCGAGGTGATTCCTACCTGGTAAGTTGAAACTAATGCGGAAGATCTTGATTGCACACATTGTTTTTATGTTGGTGCTTGCTCTTTTTTGCAGGAGGACAGGTTTGATGACCGGGATGAGGAGGAGGAGCTGGAGACCGAAGGAAGTATCGACCAGGAGATGGGAAGCTCATTCGGCAGCCCTCTGGATGCTGATGTGACTGTGCAAGATCCGGAGGATGAGCCCCACCCCTCCTCCGGCCTGAACTCTGGCCCTCTGCACTGTCCAAACCCACAGCCTCAAGTGACAGATGTCATGTCTTTGAGCTGTCCTTGCGGTCGCGGGGACGAGGGTCCTGCTGATCAGCCCGACCAAACGGCTGCACCGCACGCATCCACACACAACATACTCAATCAGTTTGCAGAGGTGATGTTGGCGGACATGCGTCAGATCAAAGACCACATGGTGCTGATGAGACTTCGGCGAGACGTCACAGACCTGGTGTTCAAAGCGGTGGAGGAAGACGCGCAGAGACGATGCGTTCGGGCGCCCTCGGTGCTGGGGGAGAGCGTGGCGTTGCGCGGCTGCTCCAGGCCCCAGCAGGCATCCTCACGGACACACCGCTCGTGGAGGCAGATGTTTCTGAAGAGAAAGAATGAGGGGTGTGAGGTCGCAAGGAGGACGCAGAGATTGGAGGAGATGAGGCACGTGAGGAGAATGTCCACGAGTCGGGTATTGCAGCCCGTCCAGCAAGGCCGAGCAGTGGGGGAGATGAGTGGAAACGACTCCCTGGTTTTTATCCAGGCTGCTGAGATCAAACGAGAGACAGAGCAACACATGGTTAATATTGGGGAGGAGACGCTTCCATCGGTTTGACATTTCAGATTGAGTGGGGGGGCGGGGCGCTATATTTTGTGATTACAGTAATCTCAGTCAGTAAGTGTAGGTCAGAAAGCTTCTTGAGAATTGGAACACTTAAATGCCTTGCAGAAGACTTGATATTTGTGACGTGTCAGCACTTAGTAGCACTTTGTAGAGGTTGTCAACAATCATCCATAGTGATACCAGATATGGGAACAGGATGAAGACAATTGGAGGACTTAAGGACACGACAATGACAAGGACCGCATGTAACATCAGCCTTTTCAAAAACAAGATGTAGTTTCTGATGAATCTACAGCAATGGAAAACCATGCAGACTGACTGAACCTCAATGCACCTTCAGTTTGTTATTTAACATGGGAGGAACTTTTGAGCCTGAAAGCTGTAAGCACAAGGCAGCCGACGCTGTGAGACCCAACTCAGATAGATCATGTTCTGCCCCGTTAAAGGAACAAGACAATGATTGAATAATAATTCAAAACAATTATTTTTGTATGACAAGTTTTTTTTAATTTCATGTTTAAATATGCAAGTGAGGTATTATCTTATTAAGTAATTCATTAATAAGTGCAAATCTTCGTACATTTCCAGACCATAAATCTGAACTTTAGATGAAGCCAGGTTCAGAATTCTTGTTTCATTTTGTTGACATATTAGAGTCAAAGATTTTTATAGAGGGGATTTTAATATCTCTTTGTATCACTCAATACATCTGAAAATACTGTCAACAGCCATAAAAAAAATACTTTTTAGGAATTTAAACGTTGTATAAATCAGGCTATGAATGATATAAGAACAAACCCCTCAGTAAAAACCTTCAGAATATAAATAGGAATGAACTTAGAAAGTCTGGTCTATGTAAGAGCTACTGAGGTGGAGTCTGAAATAAAACTATGTTCTGTAAAATTCATTCCAGATTACTTAACTTCCCCAATTGATTACTTAAATTTAGGCAGTTATTTTTTGTATTACAAGCCTTCTGAAATAGTAGGTTAAAATATGCAAAGGCATAAAATGTCCCTTTGCTGCATGTCACTTCCTCTTTCTAATCCTTTCCAGTCTATTTCCTCTATTCATCAAATGAAGGCAAAATGGTCAAATATATATATATATATATATATGTCCTGCATTTAATATATAAATAATCTTTTGAAAAATTGCTTTTTTCCGAAGAAGTCAAATGTTAGCAGTGAAAACACAATCTCTGCTGGCATGAATATTTTTCCAGAGGCCTTGAAGAGTATTTAACTTTGCACTGATATTTCATGATATTGAGTGAATCCCATTCCCATTCAATGTAAAATACAAATATTTTGGTGATGGGAAGACTAAGTATTTCATCATTTCACCCTCTTGATTTCAGGTTAGACATGAATAAACCCAATATAGCTTGTAATAAGAACTGTCAGATACAGTGTAAGGTATCTGCTAAATAAAATATCAAATACAAAAGTAATATGGGGACCCAGCAACGGGTGTTTCATTCGAGCAACAGGTCTGACAACCTTATCTTCTTTTCTTCATTATGCATGTCTGCACTTAAACTGGCAATCGATGAACACTTGGAGTGGAGGACATGACCTACAGGTTATAACAGCACTGACTTGTTCAAAGACCTGTTTAAGATCCAAACTTCATGTTACAGTCTATGTCAATTTATTTTTCCAAGATATCAACACTTCCTAGATGTATTTGTGGAAATGGTTCACCTACAGCTAAATAGTTTGATGATTGTCATGTAGTCATCAAACTATTTAATGACCATCATCATTTACAAGATAGCCCTATGTTTGACAGTAAACAGGCACCGTGTCCTTATTAAGGGAAAATTTCCCTACAGCTTAAAACTAACATAGTGGAAAGGTTCAGGTGTTTGGGGTCTGTATAGGCGTATTCTTCGGAAACAGAATAACTAAACCCAACACCTTCATCGGCAAGATTTGAATACTAGCCATACAAGCTAATTACAGTATAATTAAAAATGTATTAGTATAGAGCTGTACTTTTAAAATACACACCGACAGCTGCCACTAAATCTAGTATGGTATCGGACAGAAGCCTACAACTATACAATTAGTCAGTGTCACACAATATGTTTATATATTTATTAAAATATAGTTCAAGTTAAACCCCATGTTTAATTTTTTGTTAAAGTATTTACTAAAATCATTTTGGAGGCTAGCTGAGCATACTCAGGTTGTAGCTACATGTTATAAAAGCATGTTAGTGGCAAAGTTTCTACATTTTCTTAATCTTGTGTCCTCGAGGATATATGCCTGTTCAACGAGCGGGGTCCTTTGGATTTTCACTCAGGCGATGCAGACTGGTGCCCCGAAGGGTCCTCAACACCGCTCACATACACACGTGTGCCCTACGCCGTTACCATGGCGGACCTACAGATGAAGCTTCTCCGCAAGAAAATTCAGAAAAGAAATGACAAGAACAAAGAGCGAAAACTACTTAAGGCGAAGGCAGTGGACGAAGAGACCGGTACGTGCTGTAAGGAAAGAGTATTGTGGAAAGAGGTTGTTGTTGCTTGTTTTCTGAAGCGGTGACGAGCCTCACCTGCTAAGCTAGCTGCGTTAGCATAGTTTTTAATAGGATTTCTCGTTAAACCGGTCAAACGTAAAACTGTTAAATTACGTTAGCTGACATTACATTGTAGCATTAGATACGTGTTTGAGTTTATCACCGACATTTGTCGCAGCTTCTTGTGATTTATAATCGTCAAGATGTAGTGAGCTAGCTTAGTATTGTAACGCATTCAGATTTCCAAAGTTCTCCCTCAGATGCGTTAACGTTACATAGTAACCACAAGTTTTAACTCCAAACTGAGATGCTAACAATTCTTCGATCATATGACTGATCGGCTAAATAAAGTTGTGTGTTTGACAGTGAACTCAAACGGACTGGAAGACAAAAGTGGTGAGAAAGCAGAAAGTGCTCCTAAGAAAACGCAGAAGAAACAGAACGTGGGGCCACTGGAAGGGACCGCGACAGAGGAACCCCCTCTGAAGAAGAAGAAGAAGAAGAGGAAGCTGGCGGACACGGCGGAATCACCAGGTAACAGCTAGAGGAGTTGGCCAACTTGATATTGATGATTTTGTGTGGTGGCTAACTAACATGTCTTATTCCTCGTTCCAGTTGAGAAGAAGATGAAAACGGTGAAAGAAGCGGGAGAAGAAGACGAGGACGAGGAGGAGGGAGATGCTTTAGCAGATGGAGAAAAGAAAAGCCATAAACCGGAGGAAGCTGCAGATGAGGAAGAGGAGGGAGAAGATGATGAGGAGGAAGAAGAGCAGCCTGAATTACCATCTGGTTTGACAGGTATAGAAGAACTGCACATGTGCTTACTATAGACCTGACCGAGTCCTCAGCAGCTGAGTGGAGAATACAGTCAGGGCTCTGCAGTGAGAAAGCACTCATTCAATGTGTTCAGCTGTTAAACAGTTTGACTTTTGTGACATCAATAGTTTGATTAGACAGTGTGAACTGAATGGTGCAGTAGTGATGGTAAATGTGCGTCCTTTAAGAGCTCTGTCATACGTTTATGACTTCATCTATATCTCATGCACCAAAAAAAAAAAAAGTGCTGAGAAAATTATTTCTGTTCAGTTTATAAAAATGATAATATATTTAACTTTGATTTATGCCAGCTATTGGATACTGCAAAAAAAAAAAAAAAAACACACACTGGGGCAAAAAAGTATTTAGTCAGCCACCAATTGTGCAAGTTCTCCCACTTAAAAAGATGAGAGGCCTGGAATTTTCATCATAGGTATACCTCAACTATGAGAGACAGAATGAGAAAAAAAAAATCCAGAAAATCACTGTCTGATTTTTAAAGAATTTATTTGCAAATTATGGTGGAAAATAAGTATTTGGTCAATAACAAAAGTTCATCTCAATACTTTGTTATATACCCTTTGTTGGCAATGACAGAGGTCAAATGTTTTCTGTAAGTCTTCACAAGCTTTTCACACACTGTTGCTGGTATTTTGGCCCATTCCTCCATGCAGATCTCCTCTAGAGCAGTGATGTTTTGGGGCTGTCGCTGGGCAACACAGACTTTCAACTCCCTCCACAGATTTTCTATGGGGTTGAGATCTGGAGACTGGCTAGGCCACTCCAGGACCTTGAAATGCTTCTTACGAAGCCACTCCTTCGTTGCCCGGGCGGTGTGTTTAGGATCATTGTCATGCTGAAAGACCCAGCCACGCTTCATCTTCAATGCCCTTGCTGATGGAAGGAGGTTTCCACTCAAAATCTCACGATACATGGCCCAATTCATTCTTTCCTTTACACGGATCAGTCGTCCTGGTCCCCTTGCAGAAAAACAGCCCCAACGCATGATGTTTCCACCCCCATGCTTCACAGTAGGTATGGTGTTCTTTGGATGCAACTCGGCATTCTTTCTCCTCCAAACACGACGAGTTGAGTTTTTACCAAAAAGTTCTATTTTGGTTTCATCTGACCATATGACATTCTCCCAATCCTCTTCTGGATCATCCAAATGCTCTCTAGCAAACTTCAGACGGGCTTGGACATGTACTGGCTTAAGCAGGGGGACACGTCTGGCACTGCAGGATTTGAGTCCCTGGCGGCGTAGTGTGTTACTGATGGTAGCCTTTGTTACTCTCTGCAGGTCATTCACTAGGTCCCCCCGTGTGGTTCTGGGATTTTTGTTCACCGTTCTTGTGATCATTTTGACCCCACGGGGTGAGATCTTGCGTGGAGCCCCAGATCAAGGGAGACTATCAGTGGTCTTGTATGTCTTCCATTTTCTAATAATTGCTCCCACAGTTGATTTCTTCACACCAAGCTGCTTACCTATTGCAGATTCAGTCTTTCCAGCCTGGTGCAGGTCTACAATTTTGTTTCTGGTGTCCTTTGACAGCTCTTTGGTCTTGGCCATAGTGGAGTTTGGAGTGTGACTGTTTGAGGTTGTGGACAGGTGTCTTTTATACTGATAACGAGTTCAAACAGGTGCCATTAATACAGGTAACGAGTGGAGGACAGAGGAGCCTCTTAAAGAAGAAGTTACAGGTCTGTGAGAGCCAGAAATCTTGCTTGTTTGTAGGTGACCAAATACTTATTTTACCGAGGAATTTACCAATTAATTCATTAAAAATCCTACAATGTGATTTCCTGGATTCTTTCCCCCCATTCTGTCTCTCATAGTTGAAATGTACCTTTGATGAAAATTACAGGCATCTCTCATCTTTTTAAGTGGGAGAACTTGCACAATTGGTGGCTGACTAAATACTTTTTTGTGTGTGTGTGTGTGTGTGTGTCTATCTATCTATCTCTCATCTCAAAAATAACAACGGTTTGATTCAAGCTTTTAAATCTTGTGATCATACCAGCGTGATCATTGTATCAAACTAATCGGAAGTCTGACATTTAAGTTTCACTAAATATTCACACAATTTAAAGTACTTTTTTTTCTGAAATAGGAGGTAGTTGTTTATAATTTAGTTATTATTGACAGACTGACAGTCGATATTAACTCTTTCCCTCCTGACACAGAAACACAGGCCACATACACACAGCATGCTCATACGCCACACACACACACTCGTGTGTCTGTTAGAGGGAGGGAGAATAATATTATTCTTTGGAGCTCTGCTCTCCAGCAGGTTATCCTCGGCACCAAATATCACACGAGCAGGAGGCGGATCACACTTGATATCAAATCATTTTAACACTTTTAAATTGCCACACTGTTGTCACAGTGATAGATGCACATCATTTACATTATTAAGCTGCTTCGGTATATATGACGAGGAAACGTTGAGTGCTGTGTTTATGTAGCCAGCTGTAGTACTCTGTGGGCTTCACAACCAGAAAAGACTCTTCACCGTTCAGTGCACATACACACACACATTCACCTGCAGTGAGAAACAAAAACCAGCGCGTTGCCTGTTCAGTGTTTCCATCATGAAACAGGTGTCAACTAAGGCATACAGAGACTGTTGTGGTTGTCTTTGGGAGGAGTCACCAGTGATTCTCTTGACAGGAGCAACTGCAAGGACACTGGATATGTTGCTTTGGTTTCCCATGGCTGGCGATTAGCCGTCTCTTTCCTGCCGTGTTGTTTTCTTACGCTTCATCTTGGCCTTTTCTTGAAATAGAGAGCGGCCCCCTCATGAGTTGTTACTGGTATTTCAGGAGCCTTTGAGGACACGTCCTTCGCCTCTCTCACTGATCTGATGAGTGACGGCACGCTGAAAGCGGTGAAGGAGATGGGCTTTGAACACATGACCGAGATCCAGCACAAAAGTATCCGCCCCCTGCTGGAGGGAAGGTAAGTGGCCGGTGTAATGTGGGACTGGGTTTAGAGGTCAGCTCATTTCACACTAACAACCTGATCAACTGTAGACCACAATGCATTGTGAATTTGTGTGTACTGAAACAGTGTTTCTCTTTGCGTCGCTTCTCTTTAGGGATATTCTGGCTGCTGCCAAGACGGGGAGCGGTAAAACCTTGGCCTTCCTCATCCCGTCTATAGAGCTCATCTACAAACTCAAGTTCATGCCCAGGAACGGTAAGACTCCCGTTGAAGTCTCCTCTCTCCACAATGTTTGCAGGCTCAAAGCCGGGTCAGCTAGACTTTACCATCCAACGGATGAACCCGGCCCAGTGTTGCAAATGAAAGTAGCTAAATCGAGCAAGAAAGAAGCCACTCCTCCCAAATTCTGATTGTGAATGTAAACAACGAACATGGCTATTGTTGCCACTCTCAGCTGTTAAGCTAGCAGCTTGGGGCGGCAATGAGTGTGCGTTCAGAATGAGATCAGGTAGACGGGCCCAAATCAAAGGATTGGCATATCACAGTCCTGCCACAGTTACCAGATTTCCTTCTTTTGTCAGAGCATTTGATTTATTGATTGCTGTCGGATGTGAAGAGAATTTCCACAAATATAACTAGAATACGTTACAACGTAGCTTTAAACCTTCAGCAGGCTGTACGTATCAAACCTCATTATGGAAGTTGAGCCCTTCTCGTGATGTCCCCCTCTTCCTCTCAGGCACCGGCGTGGTGATTCTTTCCCCCACACGCGAGTTGGCAATGCAGACTTACGGCGTGCTGAAGGAGTTGATGGCGCACCACGTGCACACCTTCGGTCTGACCATGGGCGGCAGCAACCGCTCAGCGGAGGCCCAGAGGCTGGCCAACGGGGTCAACATCCTAGTGGCCACACCCGGCCGTCTGCTGGACCACCTCCAGGTGAGCAGAGTCCCCAGGGAAAACCAGGACACGTACAGAGCACCTTATCAAACTGGTCATTATCTACAGGGATGATTACTAGTCACTGCGCTTCATAGAACCGCTGGTATCGATGCATTCATCGAACATAAGATCGTGGTTTTATTGATGTTTCTTTCTACTATAAACGCCTTGTGTTTCTGCAACTCTGGCTTTTTAAAATACTTTGATAATAATATAAAAACATTTTTTTGCCTTCAGAATACTCCTGGGTTCATGTACAAGAACCTACAGTGTCTGATTATCGACGAGGCCGACCGAATCTTAGAGGTGGGCTTCGAGGAGGAGCTGAAGCAGATCATCAAGCTGCTGCCAAGTACGTATCTGTTGTTGCACCGCTCTCCTTCCTCTTTGATGGGATGTGTTAGTTAACGGGTACTTTATTCAACAGCGGTCAAAATCCATACAGCATAGGATAGACATGGGGACCCTTAGTCCATAAAGCAAAATATAACTGACATCAGGTTTTTTTTTCTCAGACTTGAGCTCCTTTTGAGCCACATAAACTCACAGGCTGGAAGAACTCTTCATGGTCACTTCATGGTCCACAGTGTACAACAAACCCACTGTGATCCACCGGCTCCCTCTGAGTCCCTGTTCAATGTCTCCTTGTTCTCTCCAGAGAAGAGACAGACCATGCTGTTTTCAGCCACTCAGACCCGTAAGGTGGAGGACTTGGCTCGCATCTCCCTGAAGAAAGAGCCGCTCTACGTCGGCGTGGATGACAACAAAGACAATGCCACTGTTGACGGCCTGGAGCAGGTACGGTCTGCTCCTGTAACATGGTGGCCATATTCCTCGGCACGCCGACGCGTTTATAACGTGATCCGTCTCGTGTTTCAGGGTTACGTGGTGTGTCCGTCAGAGAAGCGCTTCCTGCTGCTCTTCACCTTCCTGAAGAAGAACCGCAAGAAGAAGCTCATGGTCTTCTTCTCCTCCTGTATGTCTGTGAAGTTCCACTACGAGCTGCTCAACTACATCGACCTGCCTGTCATGGCCATCCATGTAAGTCGCGTCGCCGACCTCCCAGCATCATTGGGTCGTGTTCAGAGGACTCGGCCTCACCCGTCTCCTTATTCTGTCTTTTCAGGGCAAACAGAAGCAGACCAAACGAACCACCACCTTCTTCCAGTTCTGTAACGCCGACTCAGGCATCCTGCTGTGTACAGACGTGGCGGCCCGAGGCCTGGACATCCCCGAGGTGGACTGGATCGTCCAGTACGACCCCACAGATGACCCCAAGGTACCTGAGCTACAACTAGATCATTTACCCCGATAATTCTAGAGCTATGGTCAAATCAGCAGCTTGGCTCCGGAGCACTTGACCCCTTTTAAACTGGCCTTTGCGTCCGCAGGAGTACATCCACAGGGTGGGCAGGACAGCCAGAGGCATCAACGGCAAAGGCCACGCGCTCCTCATCCTCCGGCCAGAGGAGCTCGGCTTCCTGCGCTTCCTGAAACAGGCCAAGGTAACCCGTCTGTTCATATAGATCCTTTACTAATGCTGAGCCCAACCAGGTGGACATGTGCCATGTCTTCATATGGGACGAGCCTCTTTTTACTCACCTCCTTTTCTTGGTGCAGGTCCCACTGAGCGAGTTTGACTTTTCTTGGAGCAAGATCTCTGATATCCAGTCCCAGGTAAGAATGAAGACGTCTCAGCAGCTTCCACACATCTTTAAATTAGTTTTCCATAGATGTATAAGGGAAATGGCAGCTGACTGCTCGAGTCAATTATTATACAACCGCCTCTTGTTCCTAAGATGGAGAAGCTGATTGAGAAGAACTACTATCTCCACAAGTCAGCCCAGGAGGCCTACAAGTCGTACGTGAGGGCGTACGACTCCCACTCGCTCAAACAGATCTACAGCATCAACACTCTGAACCTCCCCATGGTGGCGCTGTCATTTGGCTTCAAAGTTCCTCCTTACGTCGACCTGAGTATCCTTTGCTGCTATTCGCCACACTGGCTGTTCTATGTTGGTGCGATGTCCTCATTATGTGTCATTATTTCCTCGTGTCAAGTACAAATGTATAATTTCAAAAAGAAAGATGTAGTTCTCCTTAACTCGGTTGTTCTCCAGATGTTCACAGCGGTAAAGGTGGGAAGATTCAGAAGCGAGGCGGCGGAGGTGGATTTGGATACCAGAAGTCCAACACCGGGCAAAAACCCAGAATCTTCAAGCATGTGAACAAAGGAAAGGGGGAGCGGAGGCAGTTCTCCCGCTGAACCCTTCAAGTGAACTCCTCCTGGACTGATTATTCTTCTTCTGTGTATTTGACGAACTGCCCTTTTATTTGATGAACTTCCTGCTTTGAACAGAAGGCGGGGCTCTGACATGTAGGCCCAGCTGGCCTATGAGGTGTGCGAGTGTATTTAGGAACTGTAAAGACAGTGTTGAAATAGGCCGCTGCATTCCTTGTGTGTTCTTTCCACTGTGGACTCACTTTTCTAACATTACTTCATGTCATCTTCCTGCAATATTAAATCTATTGACTTTCATTAAGTTTGCTTCATTCTATAAAGACTTAATGCACCATGTGAGGTTCTCACGTACAATCTTTAATTGGACATCACATTACAGCTGAAGGACTAGCTAAGCATCAAACCAAACATAGGTTCTGGCTATAGACACACACCCTGTGAAGTGAATCGGTCCTTGGATGAATACAGTAACCAGATTAACCTTTAAATGACAAATCAAAGAAAAACTTAATCTTGGTGTCTTCATTCTAAATTAAAGTGATCGGTGGATGTGATGGCTCAGATCAGGTCCCTAGACTGAATAGAATCCGACCGGCCGTGTTGCATTGACTTGGTTGTATGAGGGGTTCTCTTCAGTCTGTACTGAGATAAGTAATGTTAACCTGCATGTCTACCACAGCCATCCTGTCCATACAAAGGGTGTCAGCCTTATGTCAGATCCCCCCCCTCCTCAATGCCCAAAAGGTTTTAGCTCATTGTGAAAATCCAGGAAGTATTTCTGACCCCGGGTACAGAACTGTCACGTGAGTATGCAGTAACTTTTCTTAAAAGCTGAATTAGACTAATCTCACACATCCCAAAGTTAAAGAGGTACACCACAACACTTTGTACAGAATCCTTTGATACAGTGAGGTACAATAGTAGTGCAATACTTCAGACTAACAGCTGAGTCTAAGCTTTACTGTTCAAGTTAAAGAAGGCAAATCCGTGGTTTCTCTTTTTTTAAGAAATCTCATCGGAAAGGTTCCAGAGGTTGCGACTCTTCATCCCGGCTGGTACTTGAGGTTGATGAGCTTTTCTCAGTCTTGGTACAACTACTAGCAGGCTCCTCGTCACATCCTGCACCCGTCAAGTCCTTTATGCACTGCCAGTCACTTCCTCTTCCAGTCGTGCTCCATAGGTTTCCATATCCCTGATCGGTCTGGAACCAGTTACACCTGGTGATCTGTGAGATGAAGAAAGAACACGATGCTGATTCTTTGTCTGGCAGAATACAAGGTCTAGAGTGACGGCGGTTAGTTCTAGGAAATGGTTTGAGCCAAACATGTAAACCCTCGGGGGCTGCTGCTCTGTGACTTAGCATCGGACTATCTAGAACGGGTCCAGTTAGGTTCAGAACACAGCGGCGTGCTAAACTGGAGCGTTAAAGAGCAGCACTGATTCAGATGGACTGAAGCGTATGAAGGAGGCTTCAGAGGACGCAGGATCTTCATGCTCTGATTCAGTCTAGTGAAAGCCTGTGTTCAACATCTAAACGTTTCAATGACATCGACTGAAGAGCATCATATTGGACACTGAATTTATTTTTTGTTGATTCACGCAAATGTAAAAAAAATGAATCTTAAATACTGTTCAAAGTTCCATGTTTATCCATTTTTATTATTTACGCTATTTCCCAAAAGGTTTTAAGTTGACAGCTTGAGATAAACAATGTTGATCCAAATCGGTGGATTCAGGATGTGTTCTGTATCTCTCATCGCTGCTTCTTTAACACCAGATCAGAGATCAGAGTAAGTGGATTTAGACTAAACCTGTTTCCAACCTTAAACTGCAGCTACACTAATGACAGAGCAACGCCCCGTTTTGTCAGCAGTAAAACATAATGACTACAGAAACATGCACAACCAGTCAACATCAACACAAGAGCTGGACCGATAGTTGATTCAATTAACAATAAAGTCATCCACAACTGATTCAATAGAGATTCATCCATTTAGAGGTGCATTTAAAATGTAGTTTTCATTTACTCACTTGTTCAATCAGCATTTATTTTTAATTGGTTCTTCAAAAGACAATTATTAAACATCCAGCAGCTAAGATGGAACCCCACGACAACTTATTAGGGCCATTGTAGGAAAAACTACAGTCAAAGGAAAGGGTAATACCTGGAAAAAAAGTGTTTTCTCTTGATTAAGCCCAATTCACAGCAAAGTCTCTTCAAGTCCAAGTATTTGCTTTATTGCTGCATCCTATTGCAGAGTATAGTGATTAAACCTACAATGGCCCTTATACGCTGATGTAGGATCCATCTTCCTTCAAAAGCTGTTCACAAACATCATTCATCAAAGGAAACTTGTCCTGTGACGGCCAATGTGCTGTTTTCTGGTCTAAAAACATCTGCACTGGATATGGAAGCTCTGCATCGGTCAAGCCCTTTAGCACACTGTGCCCAGAAGTCAACCCCGTCACAACATGAAGAAGTTAGCGCTGTAGCACTTCAAACTGTCACACAGCATGCGGCAAACATCGGACCTTAGGGGACTGCTCTGGTGGGGGGAGGGGAGGGCGGAGCCCCCCAGGGGGCGCCGTTCATCTTCTTTCCTAAACCTGTCGTCAATGAATAAGAGAGACAGTGTCCAAGACAGATCACAGTCAGACCACTCGAGATTCAGCAAAGATTATGCTACTAAAACACACTTCAAGAAACAATGCCTGTACGTCACAGATTTATACCACTTCAGTCATACTTTGGGTAAATAAGACAAATACTGCAGCTGTGTACCGTTGGTATTGTCACTCGGCTCTGTGGTCTCCCAGTTCATGGATCTCTGGACCGCCTTCTTCCAACGAGCAAAGCGGAACTCACTCTCTGTTTGAGAAAAGGACAGACAGGGGACAGATAGACAGAGAGACAGAGAGACAGA